GGTGCAATTGATCCAAGTAATTTTGGAGCAGCGAAAAACTTTGGGGAGCATAAGTGCACCCCTCATTCTCATTTATACCAGTGCAATTATGATGTTAAAATTCATGTGTTGGCCATTCCAAACTAAAAAAGAATGCTTCCTTTGCCTTTCCACTTCTGTGCAATCTTCTGTTAGCGTCAACTGCATGGAAGGTTTGACTCTCTCGAACACAAAACTAGCTGTTTAGATGCACATAAAAGCACCAGGCACGGCAACAAGGTGCTGAGTGCTGACTGACGAAGAAAAGCATGAACTGCTGTGAATGGTTATTTTAGGCACGAAACCAAAGGTGCATGAAATGCTATATTTCACTGAAATAACATCAAAATGGAATAATTTTGACCACCCAAATTGTTTTGTTCATGTCTAAACCTTTTAATAAAACAGTCTTAATTAAAATAAAAACAAAGCTTTTGTAATTTGGCAAGAACATAAATAATGTTTTACATGTCAAATTTCATTACAAAAATTAGTATCTGAACAATATGCCTTGTTCAAAACAATTCAGCCAACCTCAAGATAATTCCAAGACTCTTTATCCACTGCTCTAGCCGATTTAGTTTTAATTTACTCTCGCCACTGTGCTATCAAACAAATGGAACATATATAAACGTGTTAGATAACCACGAAAGTTGACGTATCCTACTTAAATCCAGGATTTGAAAGATCTATATTGCCAGAATGTTGAGTACTTTCCCCTTAGTATGCGGGTGTGCTGCGGCGAAGCAAGGTGCACTAAATAACGATGCCTACTCCACTGTTGTCACTTCACTGCAGTACACCAATGTGCGGTGGGAAGCTCACTTCACGTAGCTAACTAACCCACAAGTACAGACCATGGGCAAATATGAAATATAGCCAGCCAGCAACAGCCAGGCGGCGCCAGTGGAGTGAGAGCCCACGGTTATACCATGTTTCGTTGTAACTTGGCAAAGGGTGAATGATTAGCCCCACACTGCGTGGCAACGGCTTCGATATCCTCTACGTATACGAGCGCAACGCACACATATTGGAGCATGATGCAGCGAGACGTCTGACACCACTTCGCAGTAAAAGCGCACTCCGGTGATACATAGTCACATTCTGATTGGCCCGCCAGGGCCGTAGCTTCCGCCGTACTGGCATGTTATGCAATCATGGCTTCCTGGCTTGCCCAGTGCTTCTTGCTTCAAAGACTATCATAAAATACCGGACAAGCGCCCACTCAAAAGTTAGAGACAATCGCGAAAAAATGGGGGATGGGCGCTTGTCCGGTGATCAGTTGTATGTATCAATGTACTGAGCATATTTTCTCAGATCTTGCAAATTTGGGTGCACAGTATTCGCACCCAATTTGGGTGTGCAGTAGTTTGGGTGCACATTTTGGATGCGCAGTATTCTACGGTAAACTAAGTGGCACCACCACAGTAATAGCTCACGTTTGAACAATGCAGCCGCCACTGCCAGGCATACCCTATGTATCTTGCTTCAGTCGCTAGATAGCGCCCAACCAAACAGCATTACAGGTTGCCTATTGCAAAAGTTTTAGTACTGTCAGTGTTTGATACAGAGATCAAATCGAGTAGTAAGCTATTTGAAGTGATGATAGAAACTTTGTACAAGCACACAAGCCCACCGTCACAATCCGGCCATGTAGTGGGGCCAGAGTTGTTATACTTTAAGTATCAGTAAATTGAAATTAAGTTTCGGAACAATGTTGGCACAAATTCTTCCTATTTTGGCAAAATGTACCTAGCAGAGGAAGCCCTTTGGCGCAGTTTGGCACAGCAATCGCATCAGTGCACATCTTAAATGTGATCATAAACATAAATTGAAGACTAATGTAATTGCTGCCGAGACATAAAATATCCAAGATGCCGACAGTTCCTTGCTTTTAAAGCTATCTGGGTTGTTAAATACCGTCTGCAAAAGTATAGCTGGCTAAAATAAACAGTTTGAATGGTTTTCTTGGCCCTATACGCATGGGCGTCGGCAGGGGGGTGCAAAACAAACACTTGCCTGCCCTGCCCCTGCCCCTGCCTGCCCCCTGCCCCCCCCCCGGCTTTCTCGGGTACGGGTATCGAATGACGTTGCACCATAGCTTTTCTAGCAAGCGAAGAAACCGAAAGCAATCCTAAAAATATAAAATCCACACACTATTGTTTCCTTGGATCCTTCAGCAATAGACACAAAAAAGAATAAGGTCTCCCTTCGGTCAGTTGCGATCAGCCGCACCCAGCTGGAAAAAGAACAAAAAACATAGGAAGGGCACGCACTTCCAAGAACACCGCAGTCCTGTGTTGTAATGAATCACAGGCATTCGGGTGAAAATCAGTCAACTGCCCCAAGAACAGAGCGTCCTCTACACAAAGCGGGATTCTTCCAAAAACCCCAACAGAACAAATCGGCGTAGCTACGAGTTGGAGATAGTCCGCGCTCCCCCTTCGCTTCGTGCACCTCGTAAAACCAACGTGAGGAGTAAAGCGAGCGGGCCCCGGGGGGGAAGGAGGTAGCTTTGGCATTTTGGGGGGGTTCCGACCCCCCAAACCACCCCGTTTACTCCACTGCTCATGCCAGTGCTCTGTTTTGTATATGGGCCTTTGGGTTTTTCCTCTCCTTTGCCCGTAGTAGCATGTTGCGGTCAAGGGAAAGGAGACGAGGGGGGTCAAAATCGGGGCCAGGCGTCCTATTTAGGACAATGCAGTTCTGCAAAACTCTGCTCGCACCATGTCAACAACGATACTTCCCTGGGCCATAACTCACGCGGGAGAGGCGTGTCGGACCGTCCTCGTACACAAACCGTGTTCACAATCGTGACACTGTCAAATAGCTGTGACAGGGTGGCACACTTTGCTATTGCTAGCTCTCTCTTCCTGGCCCAGTTGCTTGAAAGGGCTATAATCCACACCCAATCCCACTTTTTTATATAGCTGTGGGCTGATATGGGTCAGGAGTGAAAATGGACATCAGAAGCTTTTTTTAAACTGAAAGCCGACAGGGATAATGAGAATCTATCTTGTGCAACGAAGAAGCATGTGACCTCGGAGTCGTGTCATGACCTGCAATCTCAATGTACCTGCTGTCTCCGTCACTCCTGAGCATCGAGCCAGCTGGACATTGGCTTTGCCCTCAACTCGACACTGACAGGTATGTCAAACTCCTCTTTAACTGTGGGAGTATTCAAGCAAAGCTGAGCTTGATCAATATATAACCATGCTCACTCTGAAATGAGACAGAGTGAGCATGGCAACCTAAGGGAGCCCGCGACAAGAAAATACGAAAAGTTATAATGGCAACCAACCCTCCGGCGGTAGCCCCGCTGTGTTAGCTATCCAACACAGCTAACGCAGCTTTCAGATGTCTTCCACGGACCACAACCCGGGAAATGCTTCAAATTAATATTACAAGCGAAGACAGTTTTGTGCAGAAAATTAGTTGTAAATTTGAACATAGGTCAAGTTGGGGTAGCTTTTAAAAACTTATATAAATGTCAAATACTGTTAAATAAGGAAATAAAAGGGTGTTGTTCATTGCTGCGACAATTTATTATGTGTGCGCGTGACTTGCGTGCAGTGTCTTGCTATTTTATTGAGTATGGTACATATGATGCCAATACTTGTCTTTAAAAGCTTTGTGCTTTTTTACCTCCAAGATGTTTATAAACTAAGTGGACTGCTTTGTTGTTTTGCTGCATCATAGACTAAATTCCTTATTTTATTTTTTCACTGTTCCTGTACATACCTATAAAATATTTTTCTTACGTTAAAATTACTGATGCATTGTACTTTTTAAAATAATTGTTTAATAAAAAATGTGTATCTTGCAAGCTGTATTTAGGTCTTTCGTAATTTACTGTGGAACCCCCCCCCCCCCCACCTTTCCAATTGAGCGCACACGCCCAAAAGGGGCCGTCAGTCCCTGCCTCCCCCCCCCCCCCCCCCCCACAGACAAAATCCTGCTGACGCCCATGCCTATACAGTCTTTGTGACCTTCCCCGTCATCCTAATTGCATTGCAACTCCAAAATATGATGCAGCATATGCCTTATACCAGTTTTATTAATGTAACAAAGTTAATTATTTAAATACTCTTGCAGGCAGGAGCATTGATAGACTAAGCTTCAGCGCCACCCAACCAACCCTCAAAGGTACAGGTCCCATCAAAGTAAAACGGAGCGCCAGAGCGGCGACCAAACTGTATCGCCGCGCTATCTAGCAGCTCCGGCTGGAACTGATAGGTGCCGTCTGCGCACGTGCGCGTGTCGTTCGCGGTGTCCTCCGTCTTTCTCGTTTGATCCTCGCATTATCGGCGTCTCGAGCTGCCAAACGCTGTTCCAATAAACGCCGCTAGGTGTTCGGCTCGGGCTCGCACGGGGAGGTAACACTGAAGGCAAGTGGGAGAGAGGGGCGAGTGATGTCGATGAGCACCGCCACTTGCGCAATCAGGCGTCGATTTTAGAAAGAGCGTTGTGCCGCTCGAACCACCGATAACATGTGGGTAAGGAGAAGAAAACGGAGGCCCCATGGAAGGCACGTTTGCATGCGCAGATGTAGCCTATCAGTTCCAGCCGGCGCTGCTAGATAGCGCGGCGATGGAGTTCGGTCGCCGATCCGGCGCTCCGTTTTACTTTGACGGGAGCTGTGGTTGGACCATGGTTGGACCTATACTTTGTCTCACCCCATGGACGGACCACAGTTCAAGCTATAGGCCACTATGTCCAACCGAGAGCAAGTTTGAGATTGCTAAACATACTGGTCAGACATGCGCATTGGCGTACCACTCCGATACAAGTTTCTTGAACTGGCTCACAATTGTATCAGGCTTTAGCTGTAAACTATTGTAGGGAGAATTGAAATATATACCCTAAAACAGGTTTCGAGCAATATACAACAGGCTGCAAAGTCATGTGTCTGCTCAGATGCTGTCGGGAGGTACACAGACTTTTTTTCAGCCCTGCTGCTCTCAGAACTCATTTTCATCTGATTCCTGCAGAGCTTCCTGTGGTAGGAATAAATTTATTAAAAATAATTCAGTCAACAAAAGTTTTTGATAATACATTTTTACAAAATACAGGTAAAGGCAGCCAGGTACACGCGGCGGTATGCTTGTCCTCAACTGCTTGGGGGGTATGCAGCATCCCAGGGTCTCTTCTACCCTAAATTTCTAAGCGACCCGTATACACAGTCAAAAAAAAATATTGGTATCGCAGACGAGCTGCATATGCAACGCAAGCTACGAGTTACTACGGCTAATTCGTCGTTTCAGTTCATACTCGGCGTTAATTATAGTGCACTTGATTGTCGAGGCTAGCGTGGCTTCCTCGGCGCTGAAACTTCGCACTGCTGTGAGAGCACAAGGGTTCGGCTAGCGTCTCATTCGCATGCGCAACTGGCTTTGGTAGACTAGCCCCAACAACGTAGTACAAAATGGTTGACGCCAGGAATATAGAGCCTGAAGTGACCAACGCAGGAACCTGCCCCCCCAGCAAATAACGGGCGTTCCGTCTGACTAGACGGGCTCCCCGACGAGGCCTTGTAGTCTACTAGCAGCCGTCTCCTGCCTTTTCTGTGCTGTGACCTTCTGTGCTCTCCTCCTCCACATTCCCTTCGTCGGCCCGCTTCTGCTTCTTGGCACGGATGTCGGCGAGGGCTTGCTCTACCGTCCGCTTGTCCCTCTTGTTTTCGCTCGGCACTGGAAGATTAATGTTTTGTCGTAACGGGGACAATCTGATGTACAGGGCACTTTTGTCTTAGGCATTACAAATTTGTTTTTTAAAATTGTGAAGGATACACTAATGTGATTTGTTCAAGCAAGTTATACGGCCAAGGGGACATAATACAGGGGACTAATCGTCACAATAAGTCAGTTTATGAGCTTAAATTTGTTAGTTACCTTTTTGAGTTAGTGAAGATAACTAAATGGTTTCAATTTAGAAACTAGCCAAGTACCTTCGAAAACCACCAAGTACCATAAAATCCCGAAAGATAGCCCACCTAAAATCAAGAGAAAATCAGGTGAAAATATGTGGTGGGCTAACTTTCGGTGTACAATCAAGAAAAGTTGAAATTATTATATTTTTAGGTCATGCTTCCCTTCCAAGCTTGTTATCGTGGCGAGGGGCAACGAAGTAAAGATGACTGCTTCCCAATCATCAATGATCGGGTATATCCCGCTGCAGCTAACTAGCCGCATTTACGCGCTGAGGCCATCATGGATCCCAGTACTACTATTACTAGAAGTGGGCCATCGTTTGGTGTATAAAAAAATGTATAAAATCAAGCAAAACGTAATGGTGGGCCACCTTTCGAGGGTGGGGCATCTCTCAGGATTTTACGGTAGGTAAATTTAAGACTTGGAGAGCATGGTGCGCTATTGATGCGAAAAGGCAAGGCACATTTCGCATCCTGTCATTTGCGTTTTTGCAACGCCAGCTTTCCGTTTTTCGCACAAGGGTAACTTTGGCGCACTACCATGCTTCCCACGCACTTTCAAGTCTTCCTAAAATTGATCAACCTGGCAGTTTTCACTAATGCTCAGCAAGTTTCTAATTAGAACCATATGCATATCCTCACTAATTAAAAAGTTAATGAACAAATTTTAGTTAATTATCCGACTTATCGTAGCAACTAGCCCCTCATATCATGTCCCCCTGGCCGCACGACTTACCCGCACAGACCACCAGTGTTGGCTAAAGTACATGTAAAAAGTACCTGAAATTAAGTACAAAGTAAAGTAAAGGTTATTTACTACAATAAAGTAGTACTAAGTACACCAGGTGCAATGTACTTGAAATAAAGTACTGTAAATACACAGAATCTTTCGTGATGCCCTTTCATTCCCTTAAACAATGTTTTGTTTTTTAAACTTCCATGAGTACTTGAGAGTGCATCCGTTATTTTCGAAAATAGTGGCAAATGTTGGATAAAGTCAAGTGGCCACAGAGTAGTAGTTTTACTCTTGCTGAGAAACTATTTAACACCATCAGCTTATAAGGCACTTATTTGTACCTGTCTTATAGCCTCCATTACTTCACCCGGAGAAATGACTGGATGACGCCTCGAAAGACGATAATGCGTCTTTAGTCGGAAGTTGTACTTTGCTCGGAAAGTACCAAAAAAAAAAAACAAAAAAAAAAACTTCAAGTACAAGTATGCACCTGCTTGAAGCAAAGTACAGCATACTTAAAGTGCTTCACAACACTGCAGACCGCATTAGTGTAGCTTTCATGGGTTTTTCCAAAATAAATTTGTAAAGCCCCCCCAAAAAAAGGCACCCCGAATATTCTGTACCACAATTCTGCGCTCCCCCAGTCACCGACATAATGAGGACGGCAGGGTGCTCTCTTTCGGATGCCCAACCTCCGGTTCACACCCTTTGCCTTCTGTCATGCTTTGGCAGTGCGTGCAAGCTCGAAGCTAACGAGACGCCGAAGCGTTGTCGAAGGTAGGAAGCTTGCGCTGGACAGCCGAAGTTCTTGCCTGCTGTTCTCATCTTGTCGGCAACTATACTACCGGGGGAACGCTGGATTTGGATACCTCGAAGCCGCCTCATTGTGTAGCTGAAGATTACGCCCGGGGTCGACGAGATGATCAATATGTTTGGGAACAACTTTACTTTGCAGCCAAGTGGGGTGAAGACACCCATCCCCCGGAAGATGAGGGACACCCGTCGTCTCGTGGCAGGTGTCCCACGCTTCTCGCAAGATGTCTGTGCAAGCGTGGAAGTGTGTGGTGCGACAAGAGAATTTTTATTACAAAAATTGTAAATATAAAAAGAAAAAAAAAAAAAAATTCTGCACCCATGGTTCTACGAATTGAAGAAAATAAGTTCAGACATCACCGACTGTGTTATGCAACTCCCAACGTCCTGTTCCAAATTGTTTCATGAATTTCGGTTGCCACGGCAACCGTCTCGTGAACGGTTGCAACCTGTTGTGACGCGACCGTTCATATCTGAATGTGCCTTAAAGGGTCCCTGAAAATAAAAGAAATGTTTTTTTCAACCGTCTGGTTGGGACATGCGTTTCAAGAAAATAACTTTACGCAAAAAAAACCCCAATGTTTTAGAGCAATATTGACGGCGCGAGATTCATTTTAAATTCTGCACACGAAGTCCATGATGTCACGGAATGGTCATGCTTTTTCCACCTCAACATGATGGCCAAGCCGATCCACCTCTCCTCTACGCACCCGAAATGCCAAAAGAAAGCAAGTGGAAAGGAGGCGACTACCGACTAAATCGTGCCTCGCGCCGTCAACATTTTTTTTTTTTTTTCGCGTAAAATTAATTTTTTTGACAGGCGTGTCCCAACCAGCCTGTTTAAAAAAAAAAATTTTTTTCTTTTCAAGGGCCCTTAAATGGGTGTATCTCAAAACGTCTCATTCGCATTTGAATCTTGCACATTTCGTCTTATTCTCATTTATTCGTTCTCATAAGATCCGAATCGTTTTTTTTCGCAACTGGGCCCATTCTCATTTTGCCCATTAACTGAAAATGTCCCATTCACATTTTGACCGTGCGTATTTCGTCCCATTCTCATTTGGTCCGCCTTGTTTGAACCTTCTCGTAAGATCCAAATTGTATTTTTCATCAACTGGACCCATTCACATTTCGTACGTTCGCGCTACGACCGAATGGCACTAGTTCGGCATGCTTCTAACGTCGTTATGCCTTCGCGGCTTTGTTGATGAGCCTTAGCTTGCTTGGGCACCCAACATACCATCAGATATATCTTATGTGTAGAGGTACGCACCAAGAATCGTACAATGACGCCTACTTCTCTTCCTCTAAGCAAACGAAAAAAAAACAGCGATAAACATTTAATTTGGAAATTTTGTTTGAACAGAAATAGCATACATTATAGAAGTGGTGGCACTGTTCCAAGTCGAGAGACCTCAAGCAACGTGACATTTCGGAATATGATCTGGCTGCGATAAATAGTTCGTCTGTTTTATTGTCAGCTAGTAGCTTTTCATGACAACCTCGACGCACTGCAAAAGTCCTTAGCAGAAAGAGTACGCCAGTAGCGTGGCGCGCATGCACGCACGCACACACAATAGATATCAATGTATTTATTAATATTACCCGAAAAGAAAACAATTTTGGTGTGGAAAGAGCGACGGGTCAAAGCAAGATATTTTTGAGAATGGCTGTTTTGGAAAGGGCCAGGTGAGAAGGTCGAAACGAGAACAGGCCCAAATGAGGAGGGTTGAAATGCAAAGGACGAAACGGGAAAGGACCAAATGCGACAGGTCCAAAAGAGAAGATCTTTTTGAGTATGGTTGTTTTGAAAAGGGCCAAGTGAGATGGGCGAAACGAAAACGGGCTCAAACGATAACCACCCCCCCGAAACATGACTGCATAGGTGCATCGTCAGTCTGTTGGTGCACATTTCTTGCTTGGTATCGAGGGTAATACAACGGCAATCTTTAAGTGTCAAAGGGCCCAATGTAAAGCATGGGATAAACTTCAAGCGAGAGTTTCTCAGCTCCATATATTCATCTAGAGCCATTGCATTTGGCGGTGTTTTCGTGAACAAATTTTGGTAAACTTGGCATTGCTGTTTTCCGCACTAACTTAATTGTATCCTAGTTTTCCTCTTTACCTCTTATAAAACCTGCAAAATATTGAACCACAAAGACCGCCAGACTAAAGAGAATAAAGACTTGCAGTGATGATTTGCTCCACAGGCAGTGCAATCAGGTGCAGAATTTCCTCAAGATTGAGAGGCTTTACGGTCACTTGCAGAGAAAACCAAAATCCAACCGAAACCAGGAGGCCAGCATAGACTCTGCAAGTCGTGTGGGCTGTCTCATTTCCTCCTGGCTATAGTACACTCAAGTTTTCTTTAGGTCAACATGTTTTTGGTGTTTCAGCGGTCATCGAAATTGTGTACTATGTTCTTAAAGGGGAAAGGCAACGATATTCAATTGGAATGTTTTTCACTTTACACAAGCTCACTGGCAGTAGTGGGACTGAGGGATACTCACACGCTATTACACTGGCCAAGAAACTAATTTGTTGCAGTGCAATTTAAAGGAAAAAAGCAGGCTTTTTGATTCAATCTCTCTTTTGCAGAACTTGATGACGTAGCTGGGCAGTCGCAGTACTGCCCAGTGAGGATATTTGAATGCGGCTCATAGATTGGACCCGAGCATTGCGTGGGCACTCAATCTGAGCTCGTGATAATCGATAGCTCAACAAGCACTTGGGTAGTGGCCTGTGTCCGATCGCTGCAATGACGACGACAGCCGAACCATAACAATGGCTGGAAAAAAAAAAATTGGGTTGTGTGTGTGTTTATACAGCCTAGAACTTGGTCTGCCTCACAGGGGCGACGAGTCTCCCAGCTGTAGATGAGAAATTTAGCCAGTGCGGTACAGCCGCTAGCCTGGGGTCTTTAACGTGCATCACGCAGTAGTGATACACGACCGCACGCCGGTACGATGCTCATCCAGATCGAAACGGGCAGGGGTGGGGCTCGAACCCAGGATCCCTGGGTTCTGCAGCGCGAGCTTTCGCTCCACGTGCTCCGAACTGGTGTGCGCTAGACCACTCGGCCACCGACCCCCAACAATGGCTGGAACTCAGCACGTGTCCTGTGCCTTGTGAACCTTAGCGCGTGGCTATGATTAACATTGGCGGCATATTGCTGCGTGCGCAACTGGCCAAGTAGGCAGCGCGCGCGTGGCCTAACGGTTATCGTACCTCGCTCCCACGCGAAAAGCCAGGGTTCGATTCCTGGGAGCGCCACATCTTTTGTTATTCCTGCAATTTAGTTTTCTGGTAGATTCGAGAATCATGTTGCGTGTTCGAGGTCCGAACGTTCTACGCGTCGAACATTCTACGCTGATTATTCCAGAAGCTCACGCATGTACATAAGGGGTGCCGCATGGCGAACCGGACTCAGTCTCGCCCCAGCGCTCGATCCTGTGGTTTCGCCGACATCGACGCCCGCGACACTCTCCTGCTTTCTTCTGTTTCCTTTTCCTTTTATTAATTTTGGCACAAGTTCGCCCCCATTAAACGTTTAGTTTACTTCAGTTTCTGTCGCCTCATCACTTGTCATCCGTGACAATATAATGACTCCAGATCAAGCGGCCGCTTGTTCTGGCTGCGAGTTGAGAGGGTGAACGCTACTCGTTTTTCTTTCATTTTTTTCTGCGACTTCGATTGCATGTGGTGAAAAACGAGTGGGTGTTTCACAGGCCATTAACTTCAGGGATTCGTTCCAACTGGTATTTGCGCAAAGTACACAAATCATTGCATTGACCCTTTAAGAATGAAGATGTACCTGAGATAGCTTATTACGTCACAAATATTCCAAGTTATGTAAGTCGTTGCACGTGACTGCGGAAAAGAGACGGGACCAACCTTGAGCATGCAGTTCTTAACGGGCGATTTTATCATGCGGAAAATAGTCCGGATATGAGCTGTAAATATTTTCCCACGATAATCGGGCACTTGTAGGTCGTGTTTCTACGGACATCTAGAAGTCGTGCCTAGGTAGCTCTCTAAAGACAATGGTAGCCCTGCGGGTGAAATGGAGCGCGCAATACTGTGCAAGATGCGGCAGAAGTGGAGGGATTGAGCAGAAAGCATACCAAAGCCGAACTGCTTGTTGGGAGTGGTGATCTTGGCAGCGTCCTTGCCGGACTCCCGACCTAGTAACTTCTCGTACTTCTCGTGGTAGTCCGTCTGGGGAGTGCTCCCCCTGCTCGATTCCTTGTCTTGCTCTGCTAAGGCTGCAGCGGCGAGCTCCTGCGACAAGCGATGACAATGCTCACCTTGCATGCCTGTAAGCAGCAGATTCGTTATCTAAGCCAGTTTGTGACAACGCTGCATATGCATTGAACCCGTACCACACAGCCAGAGACCGTTCCAACGATTGTCTTCTGCGCTCCGCCCACTTTGTCCTCTACGCTGTGGAACGCATCCTCGGCATGCGCGGTAGCTTTCTCGCGCAGAATATCAGGTGCTGCACGATCGTCCCCAGCCCAATGACATTTTTCGTCTGGGCGATGAGTGCCGGAGAGGAAGAAGCTCGGCAGGAACATTTTGTGGCTATGGAGCCAAAGGTACACGAATGTGTGCCCTCGGCCAGGTTGAGCACCGACTAAAGAAATGCCACAGAAAGTTGTCCCCAAGCATAGAAAGAGATTAGGAACAACAGTGTGCACTCAATTAGTTTCCCTAACCAGTTACTAACCTACAAGAAAAATCGGGGGGAGGAGCTGCTATAGTCGGGGGCAACTTTTCTTGGCAACGCAGTGGAAGGTACAGGCACCCATTCCCTCTACCATTTTGAGTGCCGATTAAAGCTGTGCACGGGCGCTCCTCCTCTCGCCGGAGATGCAAAGAAAAGTTGTTCCCGAGTATAGTTCATTATGTGTAAATGCGAGGGCCCTACTGTAACGAAGAGGTGCCATCCTAATGAACGTTGTATTGACTGCCCATTGCGTAACAGAAGACAACTGCTAGGATAGCGCCCCTTCACCAGAGGTTGACGCTCGTGTGGCGGCGCTAAGGCTAAGAAGCAGTACACAATGTTGCAGACTTCTCACACAAGAGACGAGGCGATTTAATCTTTAAGCATTATTTTTAGAAAATACTGTACTGGAATGTGCACAAAGGAAAGTAGGACTTTTGAGTATAGTCCACACACCAGTGCCAATGCTCCCAGTTTTTACGAGCCACCGATCGCTGCCCGGGTAGGAGCAGCTCGTCATCTGACCGCAGAGTATGTTCTTAATGCTGTGCCGGTCAAGCATGTACTAGGAGCATTTCCAGATTTTAGCCTTTCTGTATGCCTTGATTGAAAGCTGAAAGCATGACATGAGAGCCCTCAATAGTGATGGAAGTGGCATTATACCTTTTGGAACAGCTTCTGTAGCAGGCGAAATATTGGTTAGGGGCAGCCACTGATGCTTTTGGAACAGATGCAAAGGTCTGTTAGCACATCACTTGATAATAACAAAAAATTATTGCATCGCTCAACAAGTTCATTTATGGTATTGCACAAAGAATAGATAGGGGGCAAAAGGAACACAGAGCCTTCTTTTTAGAAATAATGCTCTGGTTAGAGTAAATTCCATTTACAATGAATATTAAAAAAAAAATAAAGAAAACAGTTGAGAGACTAGTCAAAGCACAACACTTCAGTTGGGATAAAGCCTCACTCCCCTTCCCCTTTTACGCTCGATAGTTTATTTAGCCTAGAAATTGTAAATTCTGTAAAACGCCAGGAAAAGCCAGCCTATCCGCTAACACGTCTAGCAATAAAAATGCATACCCCAAGTTTTATGAACCTACAAAACTCGAGGCTTTAATATGATAAACTGCAAAAACAACCACCCACAAATATTATGAGAGCCTACACCTGCGCTTTAGAGGTGACACTGTTAGCGGCATTGGAACCAGAGTTGAGTCAAAGTTAGCTGCTCTTTCAATCGACGGCTGCATGCGAAGTACCTTGACTAGTATATTTATTCAAATATAGACCCGTGTTTTTACAGCGAAGCTGTTATGCACAAGGATCTGGGAAACAATGTGTCCACGGATGTTGACAGACAACTCCCCATAGGTCGGGGAAAGTATGGATAAAAAAAAATTAAAAAGACAGAGCAACCAACGTGAACCAGCCTTCCTTGGCATTATTAAATAGTGGGGTCCTGATTCCTTGCTATCGTCTCTAGGTGTCATCCTTGAGGTTGTCCTAGACGTCGTTCTCGAAGTTGTCCTTGAGGTCGTCCTCTCTAGGCGTCGTCCTTGAGGTCGTTCTAGAAGTAATCTTTGAGGTTGTCCTCTCTAGGCGTCGTCCTCGAGGTCGTCCTAGAAGTAATCTTTGAGGTCGTCCTAGACGTTGTCCTAGAAGTCGTCCTAGAGGTCGTCCTAGACGTTGTCCTTGAGGTCGTCCTCTAGGCGTTGTCCTCAAGGTCGTCCTAGACGTTGTCCTCTAGGCATCGTCCTAGACGTCGTAAAAATAACAGCTTCGCTGGTCCTTCATCTTCATGTGAAGTGGAAAGGCTCTACAATTTTTTATTCTCTTTCTCAGCGCAGCTTTTTATAATTAGAGATCAACATAAGATCAAGGCCAAAAAAGGACGACCTGCAATACTGAGCATAATTTTCATGCTTACTGAGCTAACCCAGGCACTCCCCCCTGTCAACCGCTGCTCCTAATACTCCCACGCAAAGCAATAAAGCTTGATGTGCGTGCGTACGCTGGCGAGAGGCATTGAAGGTAGTCTTAAGCGAATAGTGAATTTTGAGTTTGAAGTGAATTTGACGCAAAAAGTGGTTTTGGCCGAATATTTTCGATTTGAATATCAAGTAGTTTTTCCATGCCTTTCACTACCATTGCATAATGCTTAGACGAAAACCCAGTTAACTTTTGAAGGTTGTTCCGCTTGAAAGTTTAATATATCTACATTTATGAACTGTGACCTCAGAAGGTCTGACGTCTTGGGATGGCAAGTAAACGACGGATCTGACATAAAATTAATTCTATAGAGATGGCCAACGATACCCAGTCGAGTGAACTTACCAATCTTGCCATATAAAATATTCTTTCTTTAATCTCGAGTTAAAAAAGTATGAATCGCGCATGATGAATGCGGGTTGTAAGGGCATCTCTGCCTAACATAGTATACTCATGCATAAGTCAGTTTAATTTTGAAACTTTTACTACAATGTAGATAAACACATTCACAAAGTTTCCATTTATTTTCAAATACAGCTGGCACGCGTGCACCATCCCGCTTTGAATGTATGCGTTTCTTCCAAGAACGCAATTGCGATATTCATACTTTTTTAAGTGTTTAATGAGGCAGGTTACCCCGTTGAGTGCGCTTCTTAAGGCCCATACGCACATTCGCGTTTGAGCGCGGTGCGTTCTGTAGCGGCAAGCGGGCGCGTTGCGTTGCGAAGACCGCTTGCGCCAAACTTGTACGCACAGTTGCGTTGACACGCAGTCAACCGCAGTCAAGAGCCAATAAGAATGCGCTATCATCGCTAGCAGCTCACCTATAGTAAGCGAAATCTAAGGCAACATGGCGGCGCACAGCGACAGCGTCGAAGTGTTCGATCTTGGGACAATCTCGCCGGCTTCCTCGACGTTTTGTCAAGCTTGAACCATTGCAGCCTTGGAAAATACAGTCCACACCACACCCCAAAACGAAAAAGCAAGCACTGCGACCGGCGAACCGGATACGTCTCGCCGAGTTGGCCTGGTGACTTTAGGTGGTGCAAGCGAACACGTCCCCCCCTCTCCTTTTTCGGCTCCTGATTGGTCGAACGCACCCAAATGCACCTCAACGCTTCGGAAAGTTGAGCGAGTCTCTACTCGCTTGCGTCGCTCTACCGAGCGTTGAGGGAAAGCGCGCGTTGCTCCGCAAGCGACCGCGCCAGGCCGCAAGGACTCCGCAACGCACTCAAACGCGTTCAAACGCGAATGTGCGTATGGGCCTTGACCGAGCATTGATGTATTGCAGAAAAGCAACATGTGCAGCGCAGTGCAATAACCGCAGGTTACTCCACGGGTATTGCATTGCGGAGCAGCCTACCCATGGAAGCAAGCTCCGCGGGTACTGCTGCTCCGCAGTGCACCGGTGCTTGGTAAGAAGCGCACTCAACATGGCTAACCTGCCGCAGTCAACACTTAAGAAAACGCGACTAGTGCAGTTCTTGTCGAAGTGAATATTGAATAGTCTGTTACTCGAAACTAATATTCGAAATATCTAATATTCACACAGCCCTCGTTAAAGGTTGACATGAGTGAAGTGCCACGGTCCTGATCTCACCAGGAGTACAAGACCCTGGTTCTGTTTTATCACAGTAGCCACCATCCTACTAGTTTGCAAAGTTTTTGCGCAACTTTTAGCTTCTGACTTTGCCGACATCACCTTAAAATTTAGACAATGTCGGTGATCAACTGGCCAGAGCATTAATCGGCCAACATGGTTGACAAGCAATCTTTATACTTCGTTTCACCTTAAGTCAAAGTGCAGCTGATGCTACAAGCATTCGTCATCTTCTTAAAACATGTTCTCTCATCGGCTAAACCAACCATGTGGAGCGAATGTCCCGTGACTTGCGCTTTTACGTGTTTTGGGTTGTATGTGTTCTAACTTTCGACTTTGCTGTGATCTAGTAAGATGAAACAAACTATACATTAAGTAGAGACGCTGTGAAATACATATTTCCACCATTTTCTTTTCCTCCTACTTGTCTAAAAATTAAAGCCGGCCAATAATAAAATATTTTTTATTTTGTGCTTTGTTTATGCCCACCTTGGTGCAGAGGTGGTGCAATTCTTAGCAAAAATGACATTTTGGCGCATGATGTAGCAGACTTTCGTTCGTGGCAGTTTGGCGCAGCACTTCCATCACTGCCTCGATGCAGGAGTACCACCTCAGAAAGGTAAGATCTTGCAGTTTAATACCAGAGAAGGATAGGAGTATGAGGTAACTCAGTTGCCCTAACTTTTAGTGGCTGAGCTGCGGCAGAGTTTACCATAGCTACTGCTCGCTTGTTAGCTTTTGCTGCAGCTTGCTGCCTTCACTGCCAAGACTGCCAGTTTTCACTAGAGCTCTTTTATACTGGAAGGCAGCATTTCGCCTTGACTCTGCTTCCTCTCAATCCTTGCCTCCCAGCCAGTCACACCCTTTTCTTTAAATAGCAGCACAGCAGTATCGCATGTTGAGAAAAATTCAAACAAGTGGTGTAAAGTAATTCTGTTCCGTGTATGTTCAGAGAGTGGGAAGTCAGCCCCAATGGGCGTGTGGTGTCTCCGCTGTAGACGAGAAATTTAGCAAGTGCAGTACAGTTGAATTTCGCTAATTCAATTTTTCGGATAATTCAAACTAACATGCAGGTCCCCTCCTATGTGTGTCTATAAGAGGAAACTCCCACTAATTCAAACTTTGCTTTATTCAAACAAATTTTCGGTCCCCCTCGAGTATGAATTAACGAGGTTCGACTATACTACCGCTAACCTGTTGCCCTTGAAACGTGCATCACGCATGATACACGGCCACATGCTAGTGTGACACTCATCCAGATTGAAATGGGCAGGGGTAGGAACTAAACCCCGAGTTCTGTAGAGCGAGCTTTCGCTCCACGTTGATCCCCCCTCGAACCGGGTGATAAGAGAAGAAGCTCATAGCAAGAAAAAGGTGTAAGGCAGGATGAATGGCTTAGGCAACCAACTGCACTCATTCCAAGAGAGAAGCTGCGGCCCACATGAGGCTGGGATGGTACTTGTAAGGGCCCCGCGGCACTTGACGGAAGACATAAAATGTGCGTAAATTTGTATATAAAGAGGAACTTTGCAAACCTTTTGCCGGGCGACTGCCTTTGCCTTTTCCGGGTCCCACTCTTCCCCTTTGCGGTAGGCCGCCAGTTCATCGTCCAAGGGCGCAAACTCCTGCAACGCAAAAGTAATGACATTGTTTGATATACCGCATCTGCGGCGCCGCGACCCATCCCACTTACCTTCTTGAATACCATGACGTACCGGTCCACCTCCTCTTCGCCAAAGGAGAAAGCGGTTAGACCCGCAATGTCTGCGACGTCATGACTGGAGCAGACGAAGCAAGCACAGACACGTTCACGGCAACAACACGACGCATAAAATTCTATTCCATACTTATTTCCTATGTTTCTTTACTCTGCTTTTGGCTAGTCACAAAACGTTCCCCGATGAGCACATTCCCCCGTAAAGGTTGGTTCACACATTTGCGATGGCCATGCCGAGTCTGCCTCAACACCTTTTGTAACCGCCGGCACCCTGGTGCCGTCTGTCGAGCAGCCCTGAAACACTTCCAACTTGTGAAAGTAGACCGAAGGTTTTGCATTATTTCCAAGATCAGATCTATGCACTATTTATAAGGAATAGTTGCTTAAAACTAGGCCGTATACTTTCCGGTTTTAACCGAAAGCCACCGATAAACATCCACCAGCGTCGAAAATAAAAGATTGGTTAAAACCGAAATATACCGGTTTTTAAATATCTTTGTACAAACAAATCTTTTTTTTTTTTTTTTTTTATTGAAAAAGTTTTATGTAGTTGTTCGCCAGACTCGATTGAAGCCAAGTGGCTCAAGATTATTTCACATAACATCTCTGATGACCCGTAGTTCATGGATGACTAGTTCTGGTACTCCATGCAGATAGTTAATCCTTGCACCAAGATGGAACTGCCAGAGGGATTTTTTCCCTATGAAAGCATCTACAGGCATGTTGTGCTCGATGAATGTAAACTCAGCGATCTGGAAGATGAGTTCCTCCATTACTGTTACTATGCCATCAGTGCCGCTGTTGACCCTGTGCCATTTTGGAAGTTGCATTCACCAGACTGGACAGTACTCTCCCAAGCCTCTTTGGACGTTTTAGGACTTCCCGTGTCCTAACGCAAATGTAGAGCGCACATTCTGGAATAATGACAGATGCAAGCCTTGGAATGTATGCATGTATATATTACAATAATGAAGTGTGAAGAACATTGTGTATCAGATGCAAATAAAAGCTGAACCATTTCTCATCTTGACTGCTTGTCTCTATTTGCAATTTTCTCAGTCTATAAAAGCCGTTTGAAGTGCCTGCATGAGACAATTCACCGAAATGTGCCGGTATTTTGGAAATAAACGAACACCGAAAAGCGTCACCCAATTTGTGACGCGAGTAAACACTCGAAAGTATACGGCCTGCTTATAACATTGTCAGAATTATTTCATTCCCACGGACAATGCAACCGTGTGAACCAGCCTTAAATGTCTTTGGGGCCACAAAACTGGCTGCTAGCTGACTATCAGTGGCTTAAGGCTATGCCAAAGTAGTGCCAGGATTGGGACTCACTGCTATTTTGCTTTCTGTTAGTTTCACTGCACCTCTCATGCACTCTATGGTTAGGCTTTGCAGTAAGAAAAAAGACTTCAGTGATATATTTTTTTTTTTTTCATTTTACTTTTCTTGTTTTATGGATTTAGAAGTCTATTCTCATTCTTTTAGAGACATATTAAAGGGATACGTCAATGCAATTTGAAATATACCCGTCGTGTTCAAAAATAGGCTAAATATGATCCACAATATTCATAAATGTCAATTGCATGTTTGTATTTTGAGCCTGTTGGCTGTATTTTTCGTTACAAACAGCCTACTTTGGTAACACTCGGGAGAGCAGCCAGTGGAGAGCATGTCACATGCAATTTTTGTATCTTTTTTTAACAATATATTGGTGTGTCCAATGTGATACTGCTCCTTTGAACCCATATAAATCAAAATATAAGTGCTTAAATTTCGTTGTAGTATTCCTTTAATGTGATTACAGATTTTTCCATCTGCCAATACTATGATAATTTCTGTGGCCATTCTTGAATTGAGCTTGAGGGTCTTGAAGAGATGTTTAAGCGGGACAAGACAATGTTTGAAAATGCTGACTGCCTCGTGCGTATTCTCGGTTAACAAAAAACTGATTACAGTGATGCGATTGGTCCGAGTGACCCATCACATCACTGCAATCATCAGCTTCTCAATAATAAAGAACACCTGTGAGACAGTTACAACTGTCGGCTTTGCTTAAAACAAACCCACTTGCTTAAATAGTTGCTCGAGCATCGCAAGTCAATTTAAACTTCCAAAATTGAAATGGCTCATAGAAATGTAGCAGGAGACTTCAAACACCTGCTCAAAGGCTGGAGTATGAAGACCCCACCATGTTTTTATGAGCCTGCGCCACAGCACGGATCTATCGCAGGTAGCACCTCACTCCCACTGGCAGCGTATATGACCATGTGACCATAAAAATAACCAATTTCATTCTTGTTGGAGGTTGAAGTACGAGACTCAGTACATAAACAATTGCATTAACATTTACTGACCCAAAAGCATATTCTATGTGTGACAATGCTGTGACAACCAAAATACCTCCTGCAATTATTTTCTGTCATTATTATTCAACTTGGTTAACAAATACTGTGAGCACTTGAAGCTCAACTACATTTTGAATTTTAGCATTTGAATCCAGTATTTCGCCTGTTTTTCACTGAACTCTAATTGCTTTAGCAGTACATAGAATAATGAAGTAGGCCAAATGGCACCATAAAAGGGCCCTTCTTTCAGCACCTAGATGACTTGCAGAACTTACATAATGGTCCGATGAACTTTCGACATGGGTTCAAACTTGTGCTTCTGTTTCTCGGGGTTCTGGATGAACCTGTTGATGCGATCTTCAACCTAGAAATTTTTAAACAAAGACATTCTGTTGTTCTCTGTTTGCAAAAGTTTAAAAACACCAAATATAGAAAAAAAAAAAAGTCCTCAGTGAAGATGCACTCGTGCTTAAAAGAGTTAGCGGGTAACGCGAAAAGAAAACAATTTGCTTTGTTTTCAGTTCTAAGGTGCAATGACACTCCTGAGCCGCTGGCTAAAGACGTGGTGACAGGAAATATTTTGGGAGATAACAAATTGCCTGTAACCCCCCCCCCCCCTTGTGCACCCTACTTCGCCAATGTCCGAGTCCGACGGTGACATAAGTATTTGATGTATGCGGAGAGCAGGTTCGTCTGCTTTTTGCGGAGGAGTTGTGCTGACGACAGAACGCCAAACTCTTGTTGGCTCTGATCAACGTTACTAGATTACCTCAGTTGTGGAACTTCCGCGGAAGGCGGTACCGCCCCTCACTCACTTCAGTCCACCTCCCGTCATTCGAAGCGCCATCTAGATTTTTATTTACGAACTGTGTGTTCCATAGACTATGGTGGAACGCCATCTAGACGCCGCGCTTCAAAACGTACATACTCCATAGGATACACTGTAGTTACCAAAGCAGCCGTCCGGTGTGTCGAACAACGGAAGGCGAGTCGTGGTGTGTGAAAGGGGGGTACTGCTCGTGCGTGCAGCGTCTATGAGCAGTTCCGTAACTGAGCCAATCTAATAACATTGGCTCTGATTGAAGGATGGTGAGTAAAACTCAAGGCAGCTTGCTTTGAGTTTTACCCACTACCCTTAAATCATAGCCAATCAGAGCCAATCCAACCTCGGCGTTCTGACATCAAACAGCCCCTGCAAATGAAGCTGCAGAACTTGCGCTCCGTATTGCGCTCCCGAGCCTAGAACGCCACAGAATAACCTGTTTTTCGTATTTTTTTTTAATTTTTGATTTGTTGTTAACTAGCGTTTAACATTTTAGTAGGTCACGGCAGAAGTACACCATCAACTGATATGCTTCGGTAGCTTTGTCCTTTGGACGATTTCTGCGAATCGGGGAAAACCTCCCTCTATACTTCGTTTCAGCTTCGGTCCAGACGCAGCCAAAGCTACAAGCGCGAGCTCCAAGCTTTCAGCATCCCTGCCAAGCACGCGCGCTCGTGCAGCGCAAGCACTGTTCTGGGCCACATGCTCGCGCTTGTAGCATCGGCTGCGTCTGGACCGAAGCTGGAACGAAGTATAGTTTACACTCCGCGGCTCGCACGAGCGCGCGCGAACGGTGGATTAAAAGGCAGAAAGCGACAATTGGGAAACAATCACACTCAACGATCGATAATTAAGAGGATACACGTCGTCGCAAAAAGGAGAGGAGAGTGCCCCTTTACCTGATCCCGAAATTTTCTCAATTTGGCTTTCTCCTCGGCCTCCCGCTTCATGTGTTCGTCGCGCTGTTCTGCAAGGCAGAAACAAAGTCAGATGACATTAGTTCTGCCAAGAAATATTAATGCGGCGGGAGGCTGTGGCTCTTAGTGTTGACGGGGAGACACTTACTTTGAATTAATTTCTTCTGTTTGTCCCCAACAGTAGGGGGTTTGTCCATGGAACTCAAAAGAGAACCCAAAAGGTCCGCCATTGTAAAAGCTCTCAATGAGCTCGCGTTCGGTTTTTCTCACCTCACGCTTTTGGCGCTTACAAGGACGTCATACGGGTGACTCGTACATACTCGCGTAGTTTTACTGGTTTTACTGATTTTACCGCCAACAAAACAACGAAAACAACCAAAACAACCGATCAGTGAACGACAGAGCGCGCAAAGCACGTGACGTACTTTTAAACGGCGCTTTTAACTCTCAAATTGTATTGATAGTTGAATAATCGAGCACACTTTTATTCAGAAAAAAGTCAAGCCACCGGTTACATCAATTGTGCATACAAATTTTAATGCATTTAATAAAGTTTAGAGGGTGGTTTACTAGTTTGGACACATTTAAAACTATCAAAATAAAATAAAACTTTTGAATAAATATTTTTTTTACTATTTATTTTTTTCTCTTCTAAAAATACTTAAATCAGTAAATCATATGATGCTTAAGTACAAAGAAACAAATAACAACACGCGTGAACAAATTTAAGTTTTAGATTCTTTTGCTTGTTGATTTCCAATTAGTTTATGTCACTACGCAACTGCGCATAGTCCGTCCGTTCGTCCTCTAAAAAAATGGCCGTTCTGAGTGTTTTGCGGGCCGTGGGGTCCCGCGGTTCAATATTATTCAGGAAGCCTGCCGCCAACGCAGGACAACTATGCGCAGGTAATTATGTGCCTTTAGTGCATTTGTGTTGAGCTTCAACAGTGTAGCTGATTACCGCTTCAACCTAGAAGCCTGGACTTTATGTGCACTCAATGCAACATAACACGCCGATCTTACCGGACAAGGTTGTATCGCTGAGAAACAAAGACGGCGATTTGAAACGACAGCGAACAATCTGGCAGACGTCCCTATATTCCATGCCATAAACAGCGTGCAATGTATTGAAAAAAAAAAAGTAATTTTTAACGATTTCAAACTTTGGTGTGTGCATCTCAACACATCGTCTGCCCGCAGTAGACCGTACGACCGCAGTAGGATTTTGGAGTATTTTCTTTTTGAGTAAAGCTATACGCACTCCGTAGTGCACTTCGGTCGGAAATGGCTATACGTACTACGCGAAACTAACTGATCTCTGTTACGTCAAGGCGCGGTGGTGGCTCGTCGGGCGCACTTCCAGTCTGGGCCTGTGGGCGGAATCCGGCATGGGGCACGTGCGTTCTGTGTTACTTTGGAAAACCTGCCTTCTCGTCAAAACGCCGCGACTGTGGCTGTACCAAAAGAGTCGGGAACAGTTTGAAGGTCAGTTTTCATGCGTTTTGCGCCCGTGCAATCGCATAAAAACGCCGTCGGACCACGATTGCTTGGGCGGGAAGCACTTTGTATTGAATTCACGGATACTAGTGGTCGTCAGATTTATTTCTTTTGTTCCAACATGAAAGCGGGAAAACCGTCAGTTGCGTGGACCACCTGCGGACCACATTCAGTGCGTCATTACGTTCAAATGGCCGCCGCATCGTTCGAGCTGTCGTTTGCTCTCTCAAACATTTCTGCTTGTCGCCTGCTCGTTCAAACGACAGTGGACTGTAAACCAAATGTTGACCCGGTAATTGCGGTAAGAAGTGCAGACCTCAAAAGATGTTTAAGTTTGAAGGTTGCTTCGGGTAAGTAGGGTCGGTGTAAACAGTATACAGAAATGTTTATAATTATTACCAGTGGCCATCACCGACTTGTTATGCCTGATTCGCTCAGTCCGATTCTGCTTGCGATTTTCAGTACAGACGTCAACATCTCTGGTACGGTTCAGGCTTTTGCAGCCCGAGCGGCGTCATGATTGAAAATAGTGAGCAGAACCTCACCATCTGAATCGGGCTTTGGCGTCCATTCTGTGGCGTCCACGCGGAATGAATCGCCGCATGTTACATTATTCACGCCGAGTTTTGCGGTGCAACGAGCCTCGTTAATTTCGCTGATACCGCTCAAGTAGTCAGACATTGCCAGGAAGACGTAGAATCAACCAGTCCAACGCGAAAAAGATTGCGGGGACTCACGCCGGCGCCGACAACATCTCATTCCAATAGTTTGTTTATGGACGACGGCAAGCTTCTTGCCCACACCCCCATTGCGCATGCGCGGCGTCGGTGGCATCTGCTAGGGGCACTCCGGTTTGTTTGTAAACATGAGTTGGTGTATAAAACAAATGCTTGAAACGAGTTTTCTAAGCAGTGGCATAGCGTGGTGGTAAGGTGTCTGTCTGCTTTGTACGCAAGTGGATGCAAGTTCAGTCCGCAATGGGCCTACTTTTTTTTTTTTTCTCAAACATTTTTTTTTGTTGAGGCATTCGGCGAGATTTACGACGTTTTTCTTTTTTTTTACAATAAACACTAAAAAAAAAAAAAATGTTGTTGACGAAACTTTGCAGAACTAAATGGTATGGGACTCCCTTTCCGGAGGTGCGATCGGGGACAGCGGGGCTTGGGTTGCCGGCTAGACGATACTGGTTAAGTTTTGTAATTAGCAGCCGCACTTTGTCGCCGCGAAGCTGCGTGAACGCAGGTGGAGGGGTGTGTTAACGAGCTCTCCAGTGATACATGCGCTGTTTGAAACGGGTGACCCAAATGGCATGAGCTCTTTGCGTAGTGCATATTCGCGACTCCAGCAAAACGGGCGCCGCCAAGCGGGAAAACTGGGAACCAGCCGGTCCAGGTCGCTCCGCGCCCCTCCGCGTCTCTGGTGGCTTTCGCGGAGGCGTGTTGTCGGCGCGGTGGCGAACGATGTAATTTGACGAAGGTCCGAATATTTCTTAAGTTTGCCTGAGTGATCATTAGTGTGATGAAGCCTCAGTAGGTTTTCTTCTATTACGTGTTTGAAAGCCCGTTTACTTTACAGCACACGGTCGCGTGCTTCGATTTCTTGGATGGGGAGTAATCACGGAAAAACTTTTTGATTTCTTGTCTGTCTCGAATCACATTCAAAGTGACGACTGCTTGGTAACTGATACTGGAGGGAACACCAATGTTGCAGTCAAGTGAATGGGAAGGTTCGATAGCTGCTTTTCTTGAGTTTGGTTGTGTTCGGTTAGCTTTAGGTTTGAGCCACCCACGCCGGTCGGTGCGTTGGCTATTCATCTTGGCTGCTTTTCGCCGAAAAAGCCTCTGGACCACACTGAAGGAGTTGGGCGTATTTCGCAATTACTTGATTCAGGAAAACTTGCTCACTGCAAATGATGAATGAGGGAAATTATCTGTTTTCAAAAGGTGGGAGACAAGTCTCGCAACGTAAGATGCTGTCACGGCATTTTGACCTATCGCGCCTCCAATATTTATATTACGAGGACGTCGAAGCCAGCAGCAATATACGTCTACATTGGTCAGGTTGACCGGCCACAAAGAAATACTAATTTTCTCCGTTCAATACAGAGGGGTTCTGTGCGGATCTTCAATGAAGACTCTCTTCAGTTTGTCCCCTTGCTGCCGGCTATAGAACCATTTGGCTAAGTTTAAGTAGTATGTCTCCGTCTGTCATATATACTTTTATTCAGCAGCTCACCTAATAGCTAGTCAACTAAGCTCATATTTCAACCCGAAGGATATACTAATATCGCTTCAGTGGGACCCCCCCCCATAGTACGTAATATAATGCATAACCCGCTCGTCAAAATTACTTCTCGATATCTACTAAAACCTGAATTGAAATACGAGTATCAGCTGCTTAGTGGGGCACCGGCGGGTTAACATGGTCCTTGGCTCAAGAAGCGGTTGCTTAATTTTCGTAATTTTCCTGCAGCCTGTGTTGTTGGCCGAGCAGACGACTGGAGCTGCTTCGTAAACGCGGATACGCACAAAAACTCGATTTCGCGGACAGATAAGTCGCATGGTCGAGGCATGCGAGTTAGCTGAAAAGTTACTCTCTGTGGAACAATTCTATAGTCATCACCGCTTTCCTTAGATGACCAAAACTGATTAGTATATTACAGTCTCTCCGGAGCCCATAGTTTTGGTTTTGAACGAAATCTCCGAAACGAAAGTTTGACACGAAAAGAACAAAAAAACACCAGCAAAACAAAATATGGTTTGCAAGTTTATCTGCACCGGCTACACTCAACCGTCTCAGTTCAAATACCTGTAAAATTAGGCATTAAACAAAAAAAAAATCTGTTAAATTGAACGCGCCACCTGTTCAGGCGGCCCGGCCGAGCCGCCGCGACCTGGACTCAGCCGCCATGTTTGTTTGGTGGTGGCGCCCCCTATAGGTCGCTGGAGTCGCGAATAAGCCATTTCCGACCGAAGTGCACTAGCTAGTGCGTATAGCTTTACTCTTTTTACGGGGTGAGATTGAGAAAATGAATCCTGGTGTTTCGTCCCACATAAATAAATCGCACATCGCCGAGAGCTAAAACTCGGTGAGAAAGTGACACGGCAGCGGTGGTGATAAAATGCTAAATTTTGAGCATTCCTCGTTAGCTGGATCAAAAAATACAAAAGAAACACACACATACACAAAAATAATAATCAATGAGCCGACGTCTACCTCAGCCGAACTTGCATTATACCAATATTATTATGGGCACGTGTAGCAGTTATTTCAGTGAAAAATATTGTCAGACAATATTGTTTTTTTTCTTGCTGAGAAGTTTATTCACTGACATAATTGTTACACGCGCCAAAAATCTCAATCTCAATTTGATGAATATTCACCAGCTCACAAAAAAAAAAAAAATTATATATATTTTTTTTGTACCTTTTGATCCAGGTGATGTCGTGTGCTCAAACTTCCACATTTTGTTTCCACCGCTGGCATCACATTCTCAGAGTTCCAGCTCTCTGTGATGCATAATTTATTTTATGCGTGTCAAGAACATGGTTTCATTTTTTCTATTTCTACTGGTAGATGAGTCTGACATGCAGCTGCAACAAGAAAGGAGTGATGACAAGAAAGGCCGTATTTAGGAGGCTCGAGCTTGAAGGTCTTTGTCCTGTGAGACCTCGCTCCGAGCTTCACTGCTCAGAACCCCTGAAGCGTTTTGTCTGACCTTTCTTTACGTGGCACAAAAGAAACCAGAGATTACAAATGTGTGGTCTCCAAAAACAACCAAGAAGTAACAAGAAAAAAAGAAAAAGGCTCGATGTATTATTTTGTTGTTTGTCTCAAAGGATTCATTTTACTTCTTATCCATTGAAAACCTGGTACTTTCCGTGATTGGCATTAACACGCGTGGCTTGTGCTGACATAACATTGGCAGCCGTTATGAACGACCTTGCTGCTGCATGCATACCTTCTGCAGCATTCATTTTGCACCACCGAATTGGTTTCACTTGGCTAGAACGTCTAGGAACGACCACCGGTACGATCCAATGACGTCGCATGGAAGCCATGCGTACTTCGTTTCACCATAGGTCCGAGCCAAGGGAGAGGCTAAAAGACGTACAAACAGGAACACTTGAACTACAGGCGCAAGGTCACAGCACAATTGTTGTGCTTGATTGGATTAGCCAGTGATTGCAGGGGCACAGAAAGGCAATGAACGCCACAACATTGCACTTCTGGCAACGCTTGATTGGCCCCATCGGCTTGTGGCGTCCGCCATGGACTCGTCGTGAAACAGAGGACAGAGATCCTACAACCTGCTAGGGTCTGCGATTGCTTAATCAAGATGTCAAACTTGTTCCAGTGCTCGAGCTGAAAGGCTGGTTTGCACACATTTGAGTGTGTTGTGCAGTCTTGCTGTCTTTTACGACGAGAGAATGAACTGCCGCCATCTATCAGCTAGCTGTGGAACAATGGACTTTATTTAACAACTCTTTACGATATTATAAGCAATCATTTCTCATGGATACTATGTACACTTGATCTCGCGAATACTGCAAAACATTCATTCTAGTGAAATGCAGTTTCAGGGCCACCTCATGGAGGGCACCAGCGTGCCATTGCATTCTTTTGTCCTAAGCAGTGACATGATGTAGTGCAGTCGATCATAAATGAACTCAAGTGTGTGAATTAGCCTTTATAATCATGGACAAACTCAAATACCTCAAAAACCAAAAAAAAAAAGAAAAGGCAGGAGAATTGTTGTATTTTTTGGATATGATAAGCTGGTTCATTCGGTTGAGTTAGGGTTGCCTTCTTCTACCTGAATTTTCCACAAACCTATTCGGTTCATCTGACATCAGAATGTGGCATTTCGACGCATTGTAACCAATTTCATCTGCTGTTGTAAGAAAATTAAGCTTAGCAACATGCACCAGGCTTATCTGGAGGTATTCGATAGGAGGCAGTCATCATTTGATGTGCTGTTTGGTAGTCAGATATTGCTCCAGCAGCCAAAGCTTCAAATTTATTGAGACTGTGACCAGTTATAGGTCCAGTTGTTCCTCCCTGCATCTGATTTTGGGGCATAAAGGCCTGTCCACACATGCACCACGGTGCTACCTCAGTGGTATTAATTGGCACTGGAAATAGTGTACTGACCTTTGCCTACTTCACACCTTATTAGCGATAGAGCACTGATAGAGTGCTGCATCAGTGCTGAGTTACATTCAAGTCAGTGCTGAATCACTGCTGTTCCTAGTGTTGGTTTAGTGCTGCAATGTATGTGTGAACTGGCCCTAAAAGTTACTCCTTGTTTTGCTTATGTAGATGCACAGCAGTTTAGAACTCTGGGGCCAGCCTCTGCCATAGTGGAAACTGTCTTAATCACAGCAAGTGAGAACATGGGAGTGCATGGCCACGAGCTACTATCGGAGCATGCTAACAGCTAGGTGTGCAACTGCCGCAAATCTGCAGCAGTTGCAGTTGCACACCGGGTCAATGGAGTGCTTCAATAGTACCCGATGCCAACATGTTCCCGTGTCCCCGCTAACGGCCTTTGAGATAATACCTGCGTGACCCACTGGGGAAATATAAAAAATTTCATTAAAAGATTTGATCTTGGAATCCCAAACTAGCGCTAGATTTTAGAATGCCAAATGCACCGTCTAAAGATGCCCACATGGCAAATTACACCAACTTCCTGTCATCCGTCGATGTATGCATCCATTCTATGTGGGAGTGGCATGCCAAAATGGATGGTTGGTTTCGACCGTATTATTTTGTGCGGCTTAGCAGTGCACCATATGCTCCTCTCTTCCCAGTCAGGCGAATGTCCGAGCACATGCGCATCAGACCTTCGAGCTTCACCTGGAACCTGTTCAAGGATCACCTGCACTTCTACTTCCTGCTGGGTGTCATTCCGATTGGCACATTCATCTTCCTCGTGAACGTGTTCATTGGGCCGCCACAGCTGGCCGACATCCCGGAAGGTTATGAGCCAAAGTACTGGGAGTACTACAACGTGAGTGCCAGTTCTAGAGCTGTCCATGGTGACGGTTCACGATTACATGCCGTGCTGGTACTCCGTGGCAGGTTTCAACTTGTGTTTCGTATCCAGTAATTTTTTTTGAGGGGATGGGGAGAAGGGGGTGCGCACCATGAAAATGCATGGGGGACTGACTACATTTCAGGGAGGATTGAAACCCCATAAGCCCTCAGCTAAGCCCCTGCCTTGTTAGGAAATGTAGAGGCACGCATGTTACCCATTCTGTATGAATTTTAGGGGCCCCTGTTTCCACCCACCGAGAAGTTGCTGCTGACGCCAAATTAATAATTGCCGCATTGCACAGGCAGGCGAATCTTGAGTTTGCCTCGGTTGCAGTCACCAGTTTGCCGTCCGTATATCAATGTGTGCAATGCGGCAAACCTGCTTTGCAGTAAAAAAATGCTCTTGTTGACATTGTACCATACCATTGGCGAGACAGTGGTTACCTGCCCTGCAGAAAAAGAATGTTCTTGTTGACTTACCGTTCCATTGGCAAGACAGTGGTTACAGCTACAGAAACGGATCCTCGACTAACTCGTGTTTCCTGCCTCCTGGGCCGATTCGCTGATGAACGCGAGTATCTTTACCGGCAGTTAAAATAGCCGGAAAAAAAATACTGACTCCATGGAGACAAAAAAAAAAAAAAAAAAAGGCACCTAGTTTCTGGCAAATGGCTGCCTTAATTTCGTTCTTGCTTCAATTACTTAAGGGGAAGCTACGGAGCTTCTTGAAGAAAATGAGTTAGAAGTGAATTTGAGTGTAGTTTTACCCCGTGAACCCAAGTACCCAAATTATTTTCAGCGCAAGTATTGTAGAATGCGAAAGACAGTCGCTGTCCGTGACGTCATCGATGGATCTTTTGGCTGGCCAAGGCTAGGGAGGCGGGGCTTCAGCCCTATTTTGAAATTGCTCTTATGGCTCTCCGGCGCGTCGCATTGAAACATTATTGTGATATCTGTTATTCTAAAGGCCAAGTGAACACAATTCAAGTGTTTTTTCTCGAATGCAGAACCGCCCCATCTTCCCTTTAAGTCTGATTTTGCACACAGAAAAAGGGTGAACAGACTTTAAATATAAGTGAAACAAACCACATACGTATAGTTTAAAAGCGGCATGTGAAGTTCTTTTTTGGGGAAGGTCGTGTTGGAGCAGAAAGTAAAGAAAGTGATAGGCATGATCTACGTCTGCTGAGTGGAGTCGGTTGGAAAGCTATGTACTTTCTCCCCACTGAGCCCATCACGTGACCTCACTGAGCCGGTCATGTGACCTCTTGCGGCCATTTTAACCATCAGGAGAGATATCCGGACTCGCCAGCAAACCGGTCCTGGCTCCTTCTGAGCGTACTACACGCTCGCTGTGGGGGAACTTTTTCATCTTCCTTTTTATACGACACATCAATTGCAAGTTGGCACTTGGGTGTGCCTTACATGTTCCTTCTTTGTGTGTTCGTCCTTGTGTGCTGTTTTTCTCATTATGTCTACTGTCTACCAACATGCCCAGCTTACTGCCCTATGGGTCATTCTATGTCAAACGTCCCAGACGTTGCGCTTGACCGCCTTCGATTTCTAAAAAAAAATTAATTTCCTTTTGCTGCATTGTCTGTAGCCATGCCCTAAAATATTTTTGACAAAAAAAATTTCTTGATGGTGCGAGCACAGTTTTAACTTTTAAAAATAGCATGAAACTAGGTATCATTTCATAATTTATGAAAAATCAGATTTTTAATGAAACACCCAACGATATTTTCTTAAATCTGCATGGCTTTCGACTTGCAATGTGGTTGGGCTTGCACAGTTTTGTTTAATTTAAATATTTTTAAAAACAATTTCTTTTTTGAAATTTTTAGCATTTTTGTTATTTTATTTTAAAATATCTAATTGCTCCGGGGACTTAATACAACTTTTTACAGGCTGCCCTGTAGGTATATAATCTATAAAAAAAAATTTGAACCGCTCAATTAAATATTTTGCAGTAAACAAAAATCCTGAAGTTGCCAAAAAGTGTGTTTTGATGCATAAACAGCCGTTCATTTCACCCTGAGGTGGTCCATGTAAAAATACAAAATATGGTGGGTTTGGAAGAACAATCGATTGTCTTTTGATTCTGAAAGTTTAATCAAAGTAATTTTTGTTTAAAGCGAGAAAACAATTTTTGAAGTTGAATTCTTGCGCCACAACCCGGCGTCGCTTCTTAGCGCCTCTTCTCCGCACAGCACGCCACCGGCAACAATAGCTGACACGATTAGGTCCGGAGAAAGTATGGAGTTTACTGGAGTTTACTGCTGCTTCCCCTTGTCCGTCTTTTCAGCTCCTAGGGAAGAAACGGCAGGCATTGTGTTGATAATCGGAGGTGCCACCAGTGCGTAGTCATAGCAGGCCCGTCGTGCCCTTCGTATTTGGGGGCAGCTCCTCATACTCCGAAACGCGATGGCTAATCGACGGGCGGCATCAGCGGCATCAGCTGACATCAGCTGACGTGGACTTCTCAATGCGTCAGGGTCAGGCGACGTCGTCTTCTCCATGAGAAGTAAGATATATTTATGAAAGGTGGAATAGTTTTGCCTAAAAACCACATGGTATTGGATTGCTATGTAATAAGCGTCATGAATATTGGCTTGAAGCAATTTTAAAAAAATAAGGAATATGTAAGAATTTTATCATTTTTTATAGTTTTGTTGCAAACTATCTCGTTGCTGCAGGTGACTGTAAAAATTCTTTGTGACAGCCGTGTAGGTATACTGCACAAAAGAAAAAAGAACGGTTTCAGGCCGTTCAACTAAATATCATGCAGAAAAACAACTAAATTTGTGCAAAATTGCGTTTTGCTGTTTCAAGAGCCGTCAATTCCACCTTGAGGTGGCCCAAGAGAGAAATACGAAACATGGGGACTTTTACAGAAGAGTTGATTGCCTTTTGTTCTTGAAAGCTTAAATAAAATAATTTTGTTCTAAATAGGAAAAAAAAAAAATACTTTCAGTCTTTCCACTCTGGTGAAGAAGGAAGAGCAGCGGAGCTGTAGCTTCTGTTCTCGGCGGTGGCTTTCCAGACGAGCGATCTGCTTTTCTTTCGCAAGGGAATCTGAAGCGCCCGACGCAGTCAAACTTTAGACTGTAGCGGCCTCGCAACGGTTGCGAAACCATTCGCGCTGTTGCGCACTTCGCTGCTTTCTTTCCGTTCCCGCTCTTCTTCCGAAGAAATGTTGCCGCCATCTATAAGCGACGGCAGAAACCAGAATTTCTGTCGACATTTGCTTGGTACCGGACACGATCTTGGGGAAACTAGCCCTTAACAGCTCCGCTGTAAAAACATTTTAAAGTTGAGCTCTCACGCTGCAACCTGGCGTCGTTTCTTGCGCCTCTTCTCTGCACAGAATGCCACCGTCAAGCCTGGCAAAGCGTGCGACGGTGTCACGGTTTGTGCACGCAGGTAGACAGCAGGACTTCGAGTTGTTGGGTACATCTTGGTGGAAAGAAGCTTTTTTCCACTCTTATTACTTTATGGATTTTCCTATTCCGACTGTTTTGCGCGGCGGTGTCCTCCTGTGGTCTTCCACTGTTTTGATATCAGCACTGCAAATGCTTAGCGCTGCCGGGTCAAAGCATCCGCTGGTAAGCTTGCTGTTTCTTACATACAAATCGCAATCACTCTCTATTGTCAACGTCAGGACACTATTTAAACAGCAACACAAAAGCCCAGTGAACGGGCAATCTCAAACGACAAGGCGATGTGGTGTTAACGAATGCGCGCCGTTAAAGGCTTAAGCCTTGTTTGTGTTTAAATCGGCTTTGAAACGGCAAATTCTTGCGTCGTTGAATAGTTCCACTTTTAACCGCAGTATGCGTGACGGCTAGATTTCGCAGCGATATTGTCCCGTTTCCCTTTTAGAAGTCCACGTCAGCTGATGCCGCCCGTCCATTAGGCATCGCGTTTTGGAGTGTGAGAAGCCGCCCTCGGATACAAAGGGCACAACGGGCCTGCTATGGCTACGCACTGGCAACACCTCCAATTATCAACACGATGCCCGCCGTTTCTTCCCTTGCAGCTGAAAAGACGACAAGGGGAAGCGGCAGTAAACTCCGTTCTTTCTTTGAACCTAATCGTGTCAGCTATCGTCTCCGGTGGCGTGCTGTGCGGCGAAGAGGCATTAAGAAGCGATGTCGGGTTGTGGTGCAAGATTTCAACTTCAAAAATTGTTTTCTTACTTTAAACAAAAATTACTTTGATTAAACTTTCAGATTCAAAAGACAATCGATTGTTCTTCCAAACCCACCATATTTTGTATTCTTACTTGGACCACCTCAGGGTGAAATAAACGCCTGTTTATGCGTCGAAGCACACTTTTTTCAACTTCAGGATTTTTTTTTTACTGCGAGATATTCAATTGAGTGGTTGAAACATTTTTTTTATAGATTATATATCTGCAGGGCAGCCAGTAATAAGTTCTATTGAGTCCTCGGAGTAATTAGATACTTTTAATAAAACACCAAAAATGTTGAAATTTTTCAACAAAAAAAAATTGTGTTTTTAAAAAGTATTTAAATTAAACAAAACTGCACAAGCCCAACCATATTGCAAGTCGAAAGCCGTGCAGATATAAGAAGAAAATATTGTTGGGTGTTTTCATAAAAAAGCTGATTTTTCATAAATTATAGAGTAATACCTAGTATCCCGTTATTTTTATTAGTTAAAACCGCGCTCATGCCAACAAAAAAGTTTTTTTGACAAAATTATTTTAGGGCATGGCTACAAACAATACAGGAAAAAGCCATGAATTTTTTTTAGAAATCGAAGGTGGTCGAGCGCTACGCCTGGGACGTTTGACATGGAATGACCCCTAAATAAGTTACTTATATGTTGGGCTCCGTGTTTTCGGAGTTTATTTTTTGTGAAATTCGGAGGGTGTTTCTTGGAGTTTATTTTTTAGCGAAAATTCGGTGTTTATTGGAGTTTATTTTTCGTAAATCCCTAATTCTCTGAAATTCAGAGATTAATTTCTCAGTGTTTCCTATTGAAAATGATAAATAATAACCGGATACAAACGTATGCCAGTTAAAAAAATAAAACGCGCTTGTATCAATTTAGATTTCTTCAGTTGAATTTGGCGTGGGTGTCATTGGCAATACTAATTTGTCCCTTGACGAAAGTTGCACACAAGTGCGACTTCGATAAACATCGATACCTTAAAATCAATAAACTGCCCGAGGTAGTCGCAATGAAGCTCGTAGTCATTCCATCAATCTATCCCGTGGCCGCGCGAGGTGGAGTGGTTAAGGATGTAATAGAGAAGTTTCAACTGCCCGTCTTCCCTATTTTATACAATCTTTATGGTCCGTAGCTTTCACTGTTACCCCAGAAACATACCCTCTGCTTTCTCTAAATCCCAAATCCCATGGCCCAAACTGGAAACCAAAAGAGTGGTTTTTGTCGTGACACGAATGGTACGATGACCTGTTTCCGTGAACCAACCTTGACGAGACAAGCCGTAAGACCCCCTTTTGACAACGGTCCAAGGCTTGAAAGATAATTATGGTGTCGTTTTCCCAGGACCATTAACCCCGCGCTGCTCAAATTAAAAAAATATATACTTTTTTTTGGGGGGGGGGGGGGGGTCCGTGGGCATATAACAATTCGGTGATTATCGGATAAATCCGAATTCACAAAAATTGTTTTTCGGAGTTTTTCAGATTTCTCCGAAAACACGGAGCCCTACTTATACGGCATCAAAAAGGGGCAGTCCAACGGTTTTCGGACTTTGGTCAATGAGTCGCGGCAATTGGTCTATGTCACTTACAAAACAAAGAACAGAAAACCATTTTCTTCATTTTAGTGTGCTAGCTTTTATTAAAGAGGTATGAAACAAATCGAAGGTCAAGATACCCCTAACTCATGCTGTCTTTCGGGTGAGGTGCACAGTGACTTCATCATGTGTACTATATCGTCAGGGCTCCCAGCCCTCCTTTTTTCAAATATAGACCTTTTTAAGGTCTGATTCATGATTCAGCTCAAATAGAGCACTACACCCACTCAGCGTGGTTGAAGGTTGCGGTGACCCATCGACACGAAAGATTGTTTGCCGCGAAAACGGTGGGGAAGGGTAGTGGTGGAGAGGAAATGGTTTTGTTGACTCTCGATAGGTGGCACCACAAAATCTTTTGTACTCCCAATGACGTGACACCGTAGTTCCCATAACTGCTACACGGATCTGCAAATTGGGGGAAAATTTTTTTTTTTTTTTATCTCTTGCGATTATGCAGCAGGATTGCAGTATTTCGGGGGATGGTGGCACAATTTCTCACTTGAGGCAACTTAAACAATTCTAAAAAATACAAGCTACAAATTTTCGAAACATTAAAATTGTTGTGTCCTATAAGCTATGTAGAACCTTTATATTTCTATTACCAGGCTTTATGCACCCGAGAAAATAAATGTGCTTCAATGGGCGAGAGTGATACGAAGCAGACACAACTGTCTGGGGTCCAATCGGAAGCCCAGGGGAAGCAGAATCTTAGAGCTTGCCGGGCTCAAGTTTCACCCGAATCTACAAATGTAACAAGCCCACCTAACCTTTTTTGTTGCCAGCACCCGATCAAGCAGTGGATTGCGAGGTACATAGGCCACAGCCCTCAAGAAATCTATGAGAAGAAGATGTACCTCCTCCAGGTTGAGTATGAAAAGGCCCAGCTTAGGTAAGGGACTGTGTTTACACCAAGTCTAGAATGCCTATCGGTAGAGCCAGACTGTCCACATCAAGTCTGGAATGTCAATCGGTAGGGTGATCTGGAAACCTTAACATTTCCCAGGCTCATAATGTAGTATATCGCCAGTGACTTTTGCAGTACTAAAATCTGGGATACTTTACCATCTTGAGTCAGAAATTCATGCAACTTTAACAGTTCCTTAACCCCTTAAGTGTCACTTTTTTTTTTTTTTTTTTGGAAGTAGCCTAATATTTCTTTTTTTTTTCTTTTTTTTTTTTGTTTGTTATTGAGGAATTTTATTCCTTTAGTATCACAAATACTATTTCAATTTATTACGCAAAAATCACCGGCGGCGAAAAGAAAGGCGCCAACTAAAGTGAGTGCTGCCATATGATCTATGATCAGCGCCGCAAACTACGCGGACGAGCTTAGCTCGTCCGTGGAATTGAGGGCTACCGAAAAACCTCTGGACGAGCTGAGCTCGTCCATGGCATTTTTAACTAGAAACCGACCGACGAGCTCGGCTCGTCCAAGGCGCTCAAAGGGTTAGAGCACCATCTTTTTCTTAAATAGGATGCATCTCCCGTGATCTTGATGCTCATTTGCTCATCACATAATTAATCTTTGCTACTGTTAAAACATGATCGCATTACCGTATTTGGTTGAGTAATAGCCGCGCCGTTTATGAACAAAGCCTCTGGGTCTGCTTTGCTGCAGAGCACAGGGATAGTGAATCGCTGCGATTGGCAGAAAAACAACAGCGATCTACGGGACAGAGCTAACATCTTCGCTATTGTGCTGTCTGCTCAGATTGCATTTTACCAAAGTATCGTGTTCTCAACCTCGTTATTTGCTGCGTTTTTATGCAGAACTCGAAGATTGGCTGTATGTGTGTTCTGCAAGAAAGTAGATGCAAGGGGGTTGTTCATAAGAGTGCGGCTATTACTCGAGCAAATACGGTAATTTATTTTGTGTGTGCCGTTTCCTACATCATATAACTCCTTGCTTAACCTGACATTTGGTTGATTTTTATGCACTTTCAGTGTTTTCATTATCAGTGTGTTAAATTTGGCACAGACTAAACAAATTGGCAATGGGTAGAGGTGTTCTTCCAATAACCTGTAACATGCTTTTACTGTAATAAAAACCATTGCTTGATTAATTTCAGGTTGCCGAGGCTTGCTAACAAATTCACAAAAAGTGCCTCCTAGCAGCTCGGAGCCAATGATAGAATGACTCTTCCTGTAAACAATGAGATCTTTCAAAAGAGCTCATATGACAGCAAGGCATTAAAGGGGTACAGAAACAAAAATTAAAATATTCAAATTTCGTTCGGAAACGAGTCAAGCATGACGGATAATAACCGTAAATGATAATCGCACGTTTATTTTGAACGACTGGCTATATTTTTCGTTCCAAACGGTGCACTCGAGCAAGCGCTCGGAAGAGAAGCAAACAGAGAGCACGATGCGTCATGGGATATCTGGCGCAAGCAAAAACAGAAAGAAAAGATTCCCTGCATTCGTAACGTAGCAAGGCTGGCATGGTTATGAGCTTTGCCCCTGGTGGCATTGTCAGTGTTTTGGTGGTGTCAGTAGCGTCAGCGCATTACAACCGAGCCGTTCGAAGTACCCGTGGGGTGACGAGCGTGTGGCTGGCCCAAGGAGCACGTAGCTTCCACAACACTGTCTGCTGAAGGCTGAACGGGGTGGGGAAAGCAACTTTTGTTTGAGTTTTGAGCGACAGGCTAATCTTCTAGGGGGAGAATGGCTGTTTCCGGTTGCACGAACGAGGGTCTGAGAAAGAGGGGAGTCCTTCCTTTCCGTCTTCTTGGACCATTTGGTACAATGTGCGATTTGTTAGTTGAACTAGGAGGAAAGCTAAGAAGGAAAATGTTGAAATTCCAAAGGGCGGCACTGCTCCGAAGGAATCTGCTGCATCACGGCTACGTAGCAAGTTCCCCAACGTTGCTAGATTACCTCCCAAATAGGCTCCGCGTGCATCCACCAGGTGCACATTGAAAGATTGCTTATTTAGCTTTAAAATTAGTTTTCTTGTGCCTTTCAATGGAAGACTGGTATTTTTGAGGTTAGGGTGCAACATGCAACACATTCAAGGTAGAAAATGAGCGCTGGAATTTTGTTTCCCTGCCCCTTTAAGTTGGGCTAATTGGTACATAACACAATAAGGTACAACAGCCTTAAAATAGACGAAGAACACTAGGAAGAGTGTACACACACAAGAGGCTGTTTTACAGTCGAATCTCATTAATTCAAACTCGAGGGGGACCGAACATTGGTTTGAATAAAGCAAAGTTTAAATTACCGGGAGTTTCCTCCCATAGAGACGCATTGGATGGGACCTGCATGTTAGTTTGAATCAGGGTGTAAGATTGACAGGTGGGGAAACGGCCCATAGAAGCCTACCGCAGCGCCCTGACCGGATTGTGTACTCTTCTGCTTGCGGGTACCGCCGATTTGCGACAGATGGCGCTGCGGCGAGAGGAAAAAAATCTGAATTATATTTGCGTGGAACTTTATGGGAGAGTGCGCAAAATAAACCGAGAGCACGACAGTCCTCTATTGAAAATCCACGAGAAACCATCTCCGTCAGTTTAGCCGGTCGCCATTGGTCGCCCACTCGGAGTGAGAGTTCGCGGTGCTCCACATAGATGGCGCTACAGGAAAAGGGAAAACCGAGGGGGACACAATCCGGTCGCTCATTTGGCTCTCGTTTCCCCACCTGTCTATCTTATACCCTGGTTTGAATTATCTGCAAGTTTGAATTAAGAGAGTTTAAAATAACGAGATTCAACAGTACTTTTTTATAATTACGTACCAACCAGCCCAACTGAATGCCTTGCTGCAGTTTCTTTTAATATCAGGCCCTTTTATACAGCGCCTTGTCTGTGTAATTTGTTCCTTGTGTCCTTCGTCTATTTTGGCGCTGTTTTACCTTTTTGCGCTCGTATGACAGAGCAGTCATTATTTCCCCCTTCCATTTGTGAATTTTTTATGGTGTCTGACGCAAGTCTTAAGTGTAGTCTGTCGCTGAACGAGAACACAGTATCCATAATTCTCCGTAGCACGGTGCTGGTGCCTTCAAAATTGTCCATTGCAGTATCATTGTATTGTTTGCACACCACCGCACGCTCAGCAAAGGGATTGCAAGCCTTTGCCCATATCTAGCACCTTAAAAAGAATGTTTCTCAGGTATTTATCGGAGCTCTGTTCTAAAGATTTTAAGAGGAAAAGAGCATAACAAATCGAACTGCATACGAAATGCCATTTGATTTTTATCAAATTTATGGCGGTAGCATATTCCTATTATAACGTTGGCACTGCTTATAGCCTATCCAGATAGCTTCTTCTACAAGTAAGACTTAGAGAAATCAGTGAGAAAATATTCGAAAAGATAGAGATCCATAGTGATCGAACAGAATCGGCAAGTTGGTGCCAAGTGCCGCCACAACAGGTTTGCTGAAACCCACGGGCTGTTGAATCAGCAGTTGGTTACTGTGTGCACTCTAGTGACAGCAATGCCCTAAATGGCTTGAAGACCAGAGCACAGTAGACTCATTAATTCAAAATTCAGGAAGCCACAGACCACAGCACAGTAGACTCATTAATTCATGCACAAAGCAGATATTTGATGATTTCCTCTGTGCACACCTACCAATCATAAGCACCATGCCACACATAAAATGTTGGTGAAATGTATGTCATAATTAGTTTATTCACTCCTCGAAATGTGTATTGTGGACCTTTTAGACAACACATAACACCTCAAAACAAAATTAAGTTTGTTCATTCAGAAAAAAATGTTGCTAAGGCGCTGTGTGGCAGCTTCCCTAGCAACTTATGCGAACGCCGAGACGTGGACCCATGCCACGTCGCCACGTCACAGCGTCTGCGCAAGTTGCTACAGAAAGTTGCTACAAAAAATGGTCACAGGGTGCCCATTTTCATTGCTGGTGTGCCCACCCTCACTTTAGCCCCATTGAGCCTGCTTCTTACCGAGCACCAATGCACTGTAACAAAGCAACACCCGCAGAAGCGAGTTTTGCGGGCGTTGCTCCTCCGCAGCGCATCGGTGATCGGAAAGAAGTGCACTCGACCGGGCCGCAAAAACGAAAAGTATGAATTGCACGAAAACGCCGTTCAAATCAAGCGGCTCATTAATACATTAGAAACATATTAACGGACAACAGAAATTTTGAAATTTGTTTGAATTATCGCGAGCCTACCGTACCTGCCCGTCATTTCTATGCGGGGCCTTCCTCCTCAAATGCTGTCTCTCGATTTTTACCCGACGAAGCGGAAGTGTTGTGCCACTGCCTGCCGCAATCCTGCCAACGGCGGAAGCGGATGCAACAGAGGCGAGATGAGACGCCGCAACAACCGCAACCCTCGCGTTCGCTCGCCTTTGTCGTCACCATTTCCGCAGCCAAACTGCCAGGATCGCGACATCCGACAGCCGGCTCCCGCGACACAGTTTGTGGTTGCTCGGGGATTCGACGCACGGGCGGTCGGTAATCCCGCCAGTCGAAGACGCAGGCGGCGTACAGAGAGGGCTCGTTGTTTCGCAGGATGGTAGAGGAGAAAGTGAAGGACCTGATGGATGAGCGTGGTGACTACCAGGCATGGTACTACGTCCCTTACGACAGCAAGTACACCAAGTTCTACAAGGAGAAGCAAGAAGAGCTGGACTTCTCCTCCAAGACCATATGATTGTCGTCCTTGGCGTGTCTGGGAGAAACGACAGTTTGTACAGTAGAGATAATAAATACCCTAAAAGAAATGTCGCAAGGACCAATGTTTCTTTTACTGTTCGTCGAGTCGTTTATTAAAATAGTTTGATACCCTTCCTCGACTTTCTGGACCACGGATTCGTCTGTCGTAGTCAGATCCAGAGAGAGTTAAACGTAATTTCCTCTTGGTCGAAATCGTACGATCGAGGAACGACGTGCAAAATCGTTTCTGCCAAGGCTGGATATATTTCTTTCTCTCCTGCTTGTCGACTGGAGGGGGAAGAGGCCCATTTTGTATGAGCTTGGGGGACAAACTGATTGTAGAGGACTGCGTTCACGCTTGCGTGGGTGTGCGACGCGAAGAGCATGGACAAAGAGACGACATCTTTGGGCCAGTACAAAAATATATTAAAGCGTTAAACACTAGAAAATGAGAAAATTAAAAAAAATTAATTATCGGAAAATCGAACACTTAAAGGGTAAATAAAGAGGAGTACTTCACATAGTCCGTGAAGCGGGTCTGAGTTCTGATCATGGTTGACACGCCGAAGTCTTGATGCCAGGTAGATTGGCGCGTTGGGGCTGGGTAGTGGACGACAGGGTGGCTTGAAGAGTGTGGCCTGAAGTAGCGACAGGGCAGCCTCGGAGGCCCGCTGACCAGGCCTGTGTTTGTGGGCAACGAACTGAAGCCGTGCCGACCCCGCCTATCCTTGCGGGTCGGTTTTTTTCGTCCACCAGATCCTGCTCGCTTGTCCTGTTCGGTCACCTCCAGGCTTCCTTCTACTTCTTTTTCCACCACCCGCCACTCGCGCCAAATTTTCTCCGTGCACAACACACAGTCAACCAGCCACATCAGCATTCCTTTTCGTCGTCGTCCTCTTTTTTCTTCTACATTAAATTCGAAATCACCACAATTACCCCTCACTTAAGAGCGTTGTTTCGGTCAAACAATGTCTACAACATGACAAAAAAAAAAAACTTGTCCACAAACTATATTACAGTTTACAGATTTGGCACTTGGTCCGTTCAAACTTTTGGTTTCTCCCACACGCAAACATATGGAAAGTAATTGATTCAACAACCTTGTCATACGCACGTTATACTCATAGGAAAAAAAAACTTAACTATTGTACACAATGCCTCACTACAAAGAATAATAATAAAGTTGAGATTCTTATTTAACAGACATGCGACTCGTATAATCGGCGCCCACATTTTCGCAGCCCTTGATATATTCGACTGTAAAGTCGTACTCCATGAGCGTCAAGCTCCAACGTAGCACACGGCTGTTGATGTGCTTTGCAGAGTTTATGTACAATAAAGGCTGATGGTCGCTTTGCAGAATGAATAGTTTCCCGTACAAGTACACATGAAATTTTTTAACTGCCCATATCAGTGCCAGGCCTTCGCGCTCTATCGTTGAATAGCTGGCTTCACGAGGTAGCAGTTTACGACTCGCGTAAGCTACAGGATGAAGTATTCCATTATGCCGCTGCATGAGAACCGCCCCCACGCTTGTGGATGACGCATTCGTACTAAGCACGAAAGATTCAGAAAAATCTGGTGCCCTTAAGATGGGTCGGCTCGACAGTACTACTTTCAGTTTCTCAAAAGCGTGTTGTTCCTTTCTCCCCCTACTCGCTTTGTTCGGGGCCCTTTTTCGTGTCAACTCCGTTAGCGGTTGTGAAATTTCAGAGTATTGCGGAACGAAATCTCTGTAGTAGCCTGTCAGGCCAAGAAACGAGCGGACGCCCTTTTTTGTCTCGGGTGGTTCGGCAACTTGAATCTTTTTTAGCGTCTCGATTTGCGGTTGCAGGAGGTTATGTCCAATGATGTGACTGGGGAACTTGACTGATGCAAAGCCGACTTCGCTATTAGTTGGCCGTATCGTCAAACTAGCATCTCTCACCCTCTGAAAGAATGACTTGAGTGTTTCCAGGTGCTCTTCCCAGTTTTCTGTGGCGATGAGGACGTCGTCAAAATAGTGGTAGATGTTTGGCAGGCCTTGGACCACCTTCCTCATGAGCCGGGTAAACACCGCCGGTGCAGTCTTGATCCCAAAAGGCATAAATCGAAACTGGAAAAGTCCCGAAGCCGTAGGGAAAGCTGTCATTTGCTTTGATCCTTCGTGCATCGGCACCTGCCAATAACCTTTCGAAAAGTTGAACTTTGAGAAGTATCGGCTGCTTCCCAACTTAGCGAACATCATGTCCCCCTTGGGATGGGTTCATTGTCGGGGACGAGGACCTTGTTCAATTGCCTGAAATTAATGCACAGCCGCATTGATTCATGCTTTTTCTTTACCACCACTATGGGAGATTGGTACGGCGATTCGGAGGGTTCAATTATGCCCCGCTGTAACATTTCTTTGACTTCCTCCTGCACCGCTTCTTGGATAGCGAACGGTATCAACTATTGTTGTACTCGAATAGGAATGTCGGTGGTGGTCTTCAGTTTGCACTCCATTAGGCAGGTCTTTCCTGGGACATCTGTGAAGCTTTCCTTGTGCGCAGCCAAGGGGATAGACACCTGCGCTTGTTGAGAGGCTGTTAGGTCGTTCGAGACTTTCACATCCTGGTGAGTTTCCTTCTTGTGGAGTGTCACAGAAGGTATGTCCTCTTCCTCTACTTCCTCGTGCTGGACCGCGACTGAGGCATGCTGCGGTGGTTGGTTAGAAACCGGTCTCTCTTCGTACTTTTTCAGCATGTTAGTATGGAATAGACTACTTCTTGTTCCCAGATCAATGACGTAGTCGATGTCATTTCTTCTCTCCAAAACCTTGAAGGGGCCCTTCCAGGTCAGGATCAGCTTGTTGTTCTCGGAGGGGAGAAGTAGTAAAACCTTGTCTCCAACAGATAGCTGGCGCACTCTTGTCTTCTTGTCGTAGTACTTCTTCTGTACTATCTTCGCCTTTCTGAGCTGCTCCTGTGCTATCCGGCAAGTGTCTTCTAAGCGCTGCCGGAGCTCGACCATGTAGCCGTACGAGGTCTTCGTGTTTTCGTCAAGGTGCTCTCTTGTCCAGATTTCCTTTAATATGGCCATCGGTCCTCGGACGTACCTGCCATACAGGGGATCAAATGGTGCAAACCCAACACTAGCCTGCGGCACTTCGCGATACGCGAATAGTAGTGGTGCCAAGTATCGGTCCCATCTTTTCGGGCTCTCTTGACACATTCGTCGTATCATTTGTTTTAGTGTGCCATTAAACTGTTCCACGAGGCCGTTGGCCACGGGATGATACGGCGTGGTTGGCATCTGCTTAAACGAGAGGAGATGACTAAACTCCTTCATGAGTCCGGATGTGAATGATTTGCCCCGATCGCTGATGATTTCTTCTAGGAAATTCCACGCGGGAAAACATCTCGAGGAGAGCTTCCGCAATCCTCTCCGTCTCGATGCTTGGTAGGACAGCTGCATCAGGATAGCGGGTCACGTAGTCCACCATGGTTAGTGCGTAACGGTTGCCCTTCTCTGAGGTTGGTGACAGTGGTCCCATGATGTCAATTTCTACCCGTTGAAAAGGCGTCTCGATCACGGGCATGTTTCCCAAAGGCACGCGGCCTACCAAGTGTTTTGGAACGATTCTTTGGCAGATGTCGCATGATTTCACAAACCGCGTGACATCCCCTTCTACCCCTGGCCAGTAAAACTCTTCGAGCACTCGATCTGTCGTTCTTTTGATTCCTTGATGTCCAGATAGTATTCCTTCGTGTGCCATTTTTAGAACGAATGTTCGGAGGCCAGTTGGGACAACGAGTTGTTCCATTTCCTTTTGCGATGGAAGTCTGTACCGTCGAAAAAGAATCCCATTCTACAGCACGAAGTCGATGTTGGCTGATCTTGAGGCAACCTTGCTTCCCACTGCTTCAAAGCATCTTTGGAGTGTAGCATCTTGCTTTTGCTTGGCGCTTAGCTCCACCAGGTTGATGTCCAGTGGATTTATTTCTGCAACTGGTAGCCCAGCAGTTGTCGCCGAGGTCCGCATCGTTACGACACTAGCCTGAAGCTCGCCTTTCTGCTCTTCGGAGCTCGATGAGGAGGTCGTCCCTGTCCAAATTCGTTGGTTGCCCAAGATTTTGTCTTTTTCTTAGGGCTTTTCTTGCAGGGGAAGAAATTTCTGGTCTGCTCCCCACTTGACATCAGGAGCAGAAGCATCCCGTACGCCATCGATGTTGCCCAAGACGACATCATACAGCGGTCTTTCCATGCAGGTTGCCCTTACTGTGCCCGTGAAATAAGGAGAGTCGATGTCCACCTCCGCTTCAGGTAGGCATCGAACTGTCCGGTCGAGAAGGTAGATCGATCGACTCCTTGTCAGTTTGTCATCAGGAACCAGAGATCGCTTTACGATGACCGAGTTGCATCCTGAATCACGCAGTACAATGACAGGGTGTCTTTCAAGCAGTCCTTCAGCCGTTGGCATGCCATCTGTTTGAACATCGATCCTTCTTTCATCCTCCTCAGCTTTCACATTTCTTTTAAGGGAATGACTGTCCAAACCAACTTTCCCAGGCTCATTCTGAGGTGCCAGGGAACACGATGCTTGTCCACCCACGTCTGTCTTGTAAGGGCAAGACTCTGCTTTATGTCCGGTTTTGCGACATTTCCAGCAAACAGTCAACTTTGGGTTGGATCCTCTTGACTTGGACCAACAGTCTGCTGCATGATGATTTTGTTTGTTGCAAAGGAAACAGGTGGGTCTCCTCGTTGCATCTGGAGGTTTAGAAATCTTCGCTTTCCCCAGTGGCTTCGCCTCTTGGTCCTTATTTGTTTTGCCAAGATGGACTAGTCCTTGAGCCTCCAGGTAATGATCGGCAGCTTCCGCCAACTTGTCAAGTCCTTGGCAGCCTCTTCCCCTTAAAAAGATGGTCAGTTTTTCGTGACATCTCTTGAGAAACTGTTCTGATACTATTTTGTCCCGGAATGCGTCGTAAGTACCTCGCGAGTTACTTAGAAAAAAATTCTTTTTTCTTTTCAAATCAACATGGTTTCCGTCATGGCCTTTCTACTACGACTCAGTTACTTGAAACAGTCCATGATTTCGCAAATATCCT